CCGCCTTCGGCTCCTGGACGCGCTCCCGACGTGGGGCGGGTTGGGGAGTGGGGACTAGAGCGTGACGGCTGGACGTCGCCTTCTCGGCGCGGCAGGTCCCAGGCGACCGGGATACGAGGCGCAGTGCCGCCCTTGGGAGAGCGGAGCCACCTGGACTGAGGGCGCCTGGGTTGGCCCCAGAAAGGCAGGAGGGGAGCAGGGAAGGGATGGCGAGCCCGTGGTGCACCGCCTGTTTCTTTCCTTGTTAGGTGTCGTCCTTGGAGAAGATGGAAGCGGAGAGGCGGCCGGCGCCGGGCTCGCCCTCCGAGGGCCTGTTTGCGGACGGGCACCTGATCTTGTGGACGCTGTGCTCGGTCTTGCTGCCGGTGTTCATCACCTTCTGGTGTAGCCTCCAGCGGTCGCGCCGGCTGCTGCACCGCAGAGACATCTTCCGCAAGAGCAAGCACGGGTGGCGCGACACGGACCTGTTCAGCCAGCCCACCTACTGCTGCGTGTGCGCGCAGCACATTCTGCAGGGCGCTTTCTGCGACTGCTGCGGGCTCCGGGTGGACGAGGGCTGCCTCAAGAAGGCCGACAGGCGCTTCCAGTGCAAGGAGATTATGCTCAAGAATGACACCAAGGTCCTGGACGCCATGCCCCACCACTGGATCAGGGGCAACGTGCCCCTGTGCAGTTACTGTATGGTTTGCAAGCAGCAGTGTGGCTGTCAACCCAAGCTTTGCGATTACAGGTATGGTCTTCGTGGACACTCACTGTCCCAGAATGCGCCCTGGGAGTCAGGATTTCATAGAGTGGTGTAGAGGCCTGCTTTAATCTCTGCTGATGACCTAAACTCGTTTTGAGGAAGCAAGTTAATAAACATCCGTGAGTTTGTGCAAGCGTGACAGCTTTGCAGTAGTCATTTGCTGAGATGATGCGTCCAGCCTCCACTGCTCAGCCAGCCTGCCCTTTTGGGTAATAAAACTTGGCTCCTAACGTTAATACAGAGGTTTCTAAGTGGTGCTTGCTTCATGGCCACTGTAGATTTTAGCGTTTGTTCCTATCGATTATTTCCTTATTTTAAATAAGGAAAAATGAAATATGGACAAATTAACTTTTCCCTTCAGCCGCAAAACTGGTGGGTCACAGGTTTTGTACTGTGAACATGCAGTGAAAACAAGTGTCATTCCAAGGCAGCACTTTTATATCTTTTGCTAATATAGTTGTTGGTATCATAGCGAAATATACTCAAAAAGAACACTGAAAGGAATATTCCTTTTGACGCTTGGTCTTTCAGGACATGTTGAATCTTAGATAAGTGACCTTGATTAAGCCAAGAATATTTTAATGTATTTTATACACACACTAGACAACACATTTTTGTCCTTAAATATTGTCTGAAAATAGGTGAAGATGTCCTTTGCTGATGTTGGAAATTAGTAAATGAGAATGCTGCTTTGCAAATGATCTCTTCTAACTCAGTTCACAATTGAGAAAATTAAAGCCCGTTAGGTCCACTCTGGTAAAATAGGACTGGCCTCCAGGATTTCCAGCTCCGGACTAGCACCTAGCCTCCTTTGAGCCTTAAGTCTGGCATCATCATTGTAATGAGTTTTATTTCTGACAAGTAGAAAGGCCTATAAACATGCTTAAGAAATGAAATAGGCAGTAAATAGGAAGCTACTTTTTAATTTTTTTAATTTTTTTTTGCGGAAATTATTTGATTAGCATGAACGCTTTTATAATGTCAGTACCTGTTTTTAAGTCTTATTTTAAATAATTTTACAGATTATCAAAGAGGCTTAAGAATAAATTTTCAAAATAATATATTCTAGCCAACTACAAAGTTTTGTAACCATGCATTTTTATTTGGTGTTTTTAAAAATTAAATGCTGTCCTTCTGGCATCAGTGAGAGCCAAGTTAGCAGGGACCTTAAATAAATTTCATAATGAATTAAGTATTGTTCTATTTCCTTCCCTTCTCTGGTATAGCCTCCAGCAGTCTGTGTCTGTGCAGAATTATATTAAAAATGGTTTCCATAAATAACGGTATTTCAAATACTCTTGAACACATAATCATAGTGCTTCTGATCCTCCACCCAAATGATCTTTCTAAAAATGCAAATCTGATCAAGTCCCTGCTCTGCCTAAAACCCTTTAAATTGCTCCCCATCATGTAAGCTGATTGTTCTACAGTGTAAACCCCTAAGTGCTTATTCACAGGGTACATAAGGTCCTAGTACTCTCTGGCCTCTGTCTTTCCAGTTTTATCTAACACCACCTTCATTAAACTTTATGCACCAGCAACACCAAGCTTCTTGTAATTTCCTTAAATGTCAGGCATTTTCTGACATTTCTGCCCCTTTGCTCAAAGCTTTCCTCTCTTAATATTCTTCTGGCTAGCTTCTAGGCACCCTTAAAGACCCATCCCCTATCCTTGTCCTTCAGGAACTCTTACCTGATCTACTCACCTTCCCTCCTCCCCAGATTTTTCCTTTTTGGTGATAACATAATATCCTATATCTCAGTGGTTCTCAAAGTAAGGTCCCTAGACCAGCAGCATCAGCATCTCTTCAAAATCTGTTAGAAATGCAAATTCTAGGGTTGCTAGGTTTAGCAAATAAAAATAAAACATTTCAGTATTTGGAGCATAAAAAGTATTTGTTGTTTCTCTGAAATTCAAATTTAACTAGGCATTGTCTTTTTTTTTTTTTTTTCCTGGTAATCCTAGCTCAACCCCAGAGCTACTAAATCAGAAACTTGGGCTGGACATCAGCAGTCTTGGTTTTAACAGGCCCTACAGGTCCTAAAGATGGAGAACCACTGCTATATTTACATATCTTTAAAAACATGCACCTCTGTGTCTTAATTTTGTGTCCTCCCGTTGAGTACACTGAGTCTTTGTGATAATAAATTTTCTTTTCCTCATTAGTGCATTTTTACAGAGTACCCCTTACCCCATAATAGAAATTGTCTCTGTGTAATTTAGGAGATTTTATTATTCCCAGGAGAAGAGACCACAGTATCCTAAAGTTGTACATATTCTACAATGTTCTGAACTGATTTATGTTGGCCAGTAATTTTATATAGCATTACAGTCTCCTGTGACCTTCTGTAGGAATGAGATACTTTGGAACGAGAAACAAAATAAATAGCTACTTAGAACCTTTAAACACAGACCAGACAGTCCTTTGCTGAATTTTAAGCCCTGAGGAGAGGGCTCCTTCCCTGTCTGCATCTCATTCTTAGGGAAGTGAGTGAACTCTGCAGACAAGTTAGCATTTCAAAGGACACTAATGAGAGATGATGACTGAGTTTAAAGCCTGCAGAATAAGTGAGAAAGGCCCTTTAATTTATACTCATTCAGTCATTATACTTACTGAGCATCTATTTTTGTACTAGACACTGTGCTAGAGTCTACTTTGTAGATTTTTTCTTTTTGTGTGTTCCTGTTTCTACCTCCAACCACTACAATGTATTTCTGCACCTGGTATCTTATTTCGCTATTCTTCTTTTTCTTTTTCTTGTCTCTCCTCTGACTAAAATAGGGAATTAGGTTATATTTCTACATATTCAATATATTTATTAAATGAACCTTTGTTTCTTGTAGTGTTCTATCTCATTAAGAGAAAAATAAATTGCTTTTTAATTTATAGGACTTTTTATTCATTACATCCACCCCACGCCCCACACACAATTACTGTGATTAGTAAAACAAAGCTGCCGACTCTCAGAAGGCAATTACATTGGCCTCAATGTAATTAGTCTCAGCTTTGATCATAAATTTTGTTTCTATATTCTATTGGCGTATGTTTATTCATTTCATTATTTATCTGAAACAGTGAAAGATACCAAATCATCTTCTAGAGCAGAGGTGGGCAAACTTACTGTAAAGAGCCAAAATAATTTTCAGCTTTCCAAACCATTTTGTCTGTCATAATTACTTAACTCTGCCATAGTTGCAGTGCAAAACCAGCCATGGACAATACATGAATGAATGAGCTTACCTGTGTTCCAGTAAAACTTCATTCACAAAATCAGATGGCAGACATATTTGCAGTTTCACAAAATCAGATGGCAGACATATTTGCAGTTTGCAGAACCCTGTTCTAGTGAATCTCATAAATGACCATCTCAACTTTATGTATAATTCAGCTGCCTCCTTCAGCACACTAAAGAAGAGAGGTATTGTGAACAGGTAATTTTTTTAGAGAAAATAAGCCTTGTGAAACCTTTTTTTTCCCCCAATAAAGCAGTCATACTCTTGCACAAGAACGTCATATAAATTCATGAGCCATTCTGTATTTTCATATGAAGGAACTTTCTAGAGTAATGTTCTGTATCTTGATAAGGGTTTTAGTTACATATGTTCATTTATCAAGACTCAGGAGGTATATACGTACATTTCATTGTAAATTTTAAATCAAAAGGAAAAAACAAATCATGAATTGTAAGTAGTGATAAGCCTATTTGCTGATGTATTTGGGAAGTATTCTGATGTCTTCAGGTTACTTGGAAATGTACTAAAAATAAGATGGATTAATGGATGGATAGAAATGTGACAAAGCAATTACAGAAAGATGTTAATGGTAGAATGTAGGTGGTAGGCATACCTGTAAAAAATATTTTTAAGTAAAATATTTTAAAAAGTAAACTATTCTTCTAGAATATATTTGCTGAAATATTGAAGGGTGAGATCTCATACTGTCTGCAGTTTACTTTCAAATGATTCAGCAAAATATGAGCTTATATGGAAAAAGAATATTGTGGAAGAAAATGTTCATTAAGAATCAGCGTGAAGGATGGGCTTAGGGTATTCATTTTGCTATCCTTTTGACTTCTCTGAAACTTTGAAATTTTTCAAAAGAAAAAGAAAAAAGATCATAAGCTGTTACCCAGTGACATGATGCTAAAGCTGAATTATCAACACATGTTAGTAATGTCTTATCTTCCCAGTGAGTTTGAAATCTAGGTTGTTAAATACTAACTACAACATATGTAAAGATAATAGGCTTCAGGTTTGAATATGGTATTTCTAAAGAAGAATGTAATACTGAGTAGTAAGTGTTTTATTTTATTTTGTTTTTTGAGACAGGGTCTTGTTGTATATTGCCCAGGCTGGAAGACAGTGGCATAATTATGGCTCACTGCAGCCTCAGCCTCCCAGGTTCAAGCAACCCTCCCACCTCAGCCTTCCAAGTACCTGGGACTACAGACATGCAACACCATGCCTGACAATTTTTTTTTCTTTTTTGTAAAGATGGGAGTATCACCCTGTTGCCCAGGCTGGTCTCAAATTCCTGGGCTCAAGCAATCCTCCCATCTTGGCCTCCCAAAGTGCTGGGATTACAGGCATAAGCCACCATGCCTGGCCCTATTAAGCATTTTAGCTATACCTTTATGGAGCAAAGGCTTATGATAGCTATTATATTGGTTAAAATAATCTTTTCTGGGCTGGGCAAAGTGGCTCATGCCCGTAATCCCAGCACTTTGGGAGGCCAAGGCGGGCGGAGTTCAAGACCAGCCTGACCAATATGGAGAAACCCCATCTCTACTAAAAATACAAAATTAGCCAAGCGTGGTGGCACATGCCTGTAATCCCAGCTACTCGGGAGGCTGAGGCAGGAGAATCTCTTGAACCCAGGAGGCGGAGGTTGCCGTGAGCCGAGATCACAGCATTGCACTCCAGCCTGGGCAACAAGAATGAAACTCCGTTTCAAAAAATAATAATTATTATTATTTCTGAAATTTATGAGAGTTTAGTAAATGATAAATGTTCTGTCACAAATTATTGGGGATAGAAAAGATGGTTTTATGAATCGTGTTAGGACAAGTGCTCTTTGGGGGAGGGGAGAAGGTTAACCCTTCATAATATACCAGATTAATTACGGGTAGATTAATGCAGTGGTTTGTTTTTTGTTTTTGTTTTTGTTTTTTTGAGACAGTCTCACTCTATTGCTCAGGTTGGAGTGCAGTGACACGATCTCGGCTCACGGCTACCTCTACCTCCCTGGCTCAAGTGATTCACCTACCTCAGCCTCCCAAGTAGCTGGGATTACAGGTGTGCACCACCATGCCTGGCTAATTTTTCAAATATTTGCAGTAGAGACAGGGTTTCACCATGTTACTCAGGCTGCTCTAAAACTTCTGACCTTAAGTGATCCACCCGCCTCGGCCTCCCAAATCCTGGGATTACAGGCATGAGCCACTGTGTCCAGCCAATACAGGGGTTATTAACATGGTGGTTCATAAAGTTCTGGAAAAGCCTGACACTTTCATGAGATTCTGAATGGAATCTATAACCCCAGAAGGTTAAGAAGCACTGAATTAAAGGTGTAACTATGAAAACTGAAGTGTGGGGGTAAAAAATAACTATCGGTGAATATCTAGGAAATGGTAAAGGACTTTAAAGCATTACAGCATTTAACCAGGTGCCTGTAGCCTAGCTACTCAGGAGACTGAGGCAGGATCACTTGAGCCCAGGAGTTCAGGCCAGTGTGAGCAACATAGTGAGACAGTGTCTCTTGAAAAAAAATTTTTCACGGGACTCAGTGGCTTACACCTGTAATCCCAGCACTCTGGGAGGCCGAGGCAGACTGATGAGGTCAGGAGTTTTTGAGACCAGCCTGACCGATATGGTAAAACCCCATCTCTACTAAAAATACAAAAATTAGCCGGGCATGGTGGCACGCACATGTAGTCCCAGCTGCTCGGGAGGCTGAGGCAGGAGAATCACTTGAACCCGGTAGGTGGAAGTTGCAGTGAGCCGAGATCGCACCACTGCACTCCAGGCCTGGGCGACAGAGCGAGACTCCATCTCAAAAAAAAACAAAATTGTTTTTAAGTGAAACACCATTTAAGCCAACTACAAACGGAAATATATATGTGTATATATATATATTTTAAAAACTTAAGTAGCTTAAAAAGAAAATTTTAAAGAAAACTGAAGCATGTTTGCAATAAATATGCCAGAAAAGAGGTTGATATTCTAGATAAATAAAAGTACATGCAATTATTAAAACCTAGTGAAAAGTGAATATAGAACATGAATGAATTCACAAAAGGGGACTGAAAAACTCAGTTTTACCTAGTAATCAAAGACTTCCAGATTAAAACAATAGGATACCTTTTTCTATCAAATTATCAAAGAAAAATTAAGTACTAATGAGCAGTGTTAGTAAGTGTTACATGTGATGGGCACTTTCATGCAGTCGTAACAAGCATATTGGACGAACATCCAGAACCTTAGGAAAATGCATGCCCTTTGATTCAGTAACTTCCAAGATTGCAAGGAAATAATCTCATTCATTTACCCATGTTATTTATATTTTCAAAAATAAACTAAATATCTTTTTCTAAAAAACAGAAAGGGGGTCAGGGTTTTTTTGTTTTGTTTTGTTTTGTTTTGTTTTGTTTTGTTTTGTTTTTTGAGATGGAATCTCACTCTGATGCCCAGGCTGGAGTGCAGTAGCACAGTCTCAGCTCACTGCAACCTCCCTTTCCCAGGTTCAAGTGATCCTCCTACCTCAGCCTCCCTAGTAGCTGGGACTACAGGCACACGTTACCACACCAAGCTAATTTTTGTTTATTTTTCTTGTTTTTTGAGACGGGGTCAAATAAATTATATTATATTCACATGATGTAATAATATACATTTTTTACAAACCATATTTTAAAAAAATGCTATACAAAAAAGTTTTATGATACAGTGTAGAAATGCATTATCCAGATATATATACATCATACTTCTAACCTGAAAAACAGACGTATACACTATAAAACTGAGAATACATAAGTCAGAAAGTTAAGAGTGACACTCTCTCTGGATGATTTTTATTTTATGCCTTTTTGTATTTCTAAGTTTTTATAAGCTAATATTATTTTAAATAATTTTTAAAATTTATATAAGTAGTTCATGTATATATTCTGGTTTTTAGGATCTCAAGCAATACATACAAACAAAAATGTAGGCGAAAAAGTTAATATTTTTCCCATGCCTCAATCCTACTTTTCTTCCCAGAGGAAACCATTATGAAATAATTCAGTGGTTATCCTTTCTGATTGCTTTTGATGGTGATATACTATTTTTAAGTTATGGTAGACCAATAAATAGAGATATTATGCTTCAGCCACATAACCAGTCTAGTATAGTTTCTCAAGTTGAGTTTAAAATTAACAAATGTGATAATGCAAATTATTTTCATTTTCTCTGTAACAGATTATACAGAGAACTCTTTCTTTTAGCAGTAAATAGGACTCCAGAAAACAGCGCTAAGTACTTGACAAATCTGAATATCCAAAAGGAAAAAACAGCTTAAAATAGAAGGTCAACAGTGGACCTCTGGGTGAAAGAATGTTTATCCTCTTTTTTTTTTTTTTGTATTCATTTAATTATAACCATTATTTTCTGGTGGCCTTCTTTATCTCTTCAGTCAGATCTGCCTTACCTGTGAGTGGATTAAATACTTAGCAAATTAATAATAGAAACCCAGGACCTTTACCAGCTCTGTTCTCTGCTTGTTTTACCAATTGGGTCCAAACATAGTTGCAAATCTGAATGCACATGTTCTTATGTCTATTTCAAAAGCAAGCATATGAATTATTTTCGTATTGACTGACAAAAAGAAACGCACTGTTGTACTTATATTTACAGGTTAAGAGATTTTCAAGTTGGTCCCTGAGGAACTCTTCAAGGGTCCATGTCAGTGGGGCATTTAAACAGCAAGGGCTTCAGGCCTCATGAACCTGCATTTCAGCCAAAGCACAAATATATATAAAACTATCATTTTAGATCAGCTTTTGTTTATGTGGATCACATCCATTGATATTTATCATGTCATAAATTAAAACTGATAAATTTTTAAAATATTTTTAAAATAATAGTAACAAATTATTTTTATGAAAATTTAGTGAGGAGAGTTACATTGTTTTAAATTTTTGTACGTTTCTTTCACTTATAATTCAGCTAGATTATCATATTTGCTTCTGTTGTCATAGCACATGTCATAAAGCTTCTGGAAAACTCCACTGTACAGTTTTGAGAGGATGAAGGTGAAATAACTCTTTAGTGTTATTACTAAAACTTTAACCTCACAGATGCCCTGAATGGATCTTGGGGCCCCCAAGCCGCATTTTAAGAAATGCTGTTAAGCCAGGCACAGTGGCTCACGCCAGCAATCCCAGCACTTTGGGAGGTCGAGGTGGGTGAATCATTTGAGGTCTGGAATTCGAGACCAGCCTGGTCAACATAGTGAAACCCCATCTCTACTAAGAATACAAAAATTACCCGGGCGGTAGTGGCACACATCTTAATCCCAGCTACTTGGGAGACTGAGACAGAAGAATCACTTGAGCCTGGGAGACGGAGGTTGCAGTGAGCTGAGATCACACCACTGCACTCCAGGCTGGGCAACAGAGTGAGACCCTTTCTCAAAAAAAAAAAAAAATGCTATTAGGTTAAACTGCCAAATATGTTCAAACCTTATTGCTCCATTTCACTGTGCAGATAGATCTCTTTTATTTGCCAAATGTTATGGTAAGTAAGAGTGATAAAATTACTGTTTTATTTTTTAACAAAAATGATGGTTTTGTGGGTTATCATTGAGATTATGGTTTAAAATTAGTTAACGCTTGTTTCTTCCTTCCCTCAGGTGCATTTGGTGCCAGAAAACAGTACATGATGAGTGCATGAAAAATAGTTTAAAGAATGAAAAGTGTGATTTTGGAGAATTCAAAAACCTAATCATTCCACCAAGTTATTTAACCTCCATTAATCAGATGCGTAAAGACAAAAAAACAGATTATGAAGTGGTAATTAGAGTTTATTTCTCTTATATGATTGATTTTTTAAAAGCTGCTTAAGTCATTGTTTGAGATGGTTAAGACAGTATGTAAGAAGAATTGGTACCAGGAATAAAATAAATTTAAATAACAGATCAAGACTAAGGAGGGAAATAAAATGCCATTATGGTAAGCCATAAAACCCTACCTAGTTCCTAGAGATGGGTCAAAAATTTTGGCTCTTGAGTTCTTTCATGTCTAAAAGGAAGTTGGAAATGTTATATTGATGGTTTCTAAATCACTGCCTGCATCTGAATGACTTAGGGAGCTTTTTAAAAATACAGATTTCTGAGTAGTACTTTCATTACCATATTTGATTTAGTGGTATAGGGTAAGTCCAGGAATTCATCTTTTTTTTTTTAAGGTCCTCAGAAGATTCTGATGAACAGTCAGTTTTGGGATTCATGATTATTGTCAGTGAAAAGAAAATAGATTTTCCTCACACCTTGTTCTAAAAATATTTTTCTATTTTGAACTTTATACAGGGTCCCTAGAGATAAGTTTACATTGCACATTAAATGCTCCCACAAGTAATGGTGAACATTAAACCTGCTGACAACAGTTTATAGTATGTAGATATGTGTATGAAATTGATGTAGCTTACTGAATCAGTCTTTATGCAGCTCTTAAGGAAACATTATAAAAATTTATAGATTTATTTTCTAATTGGATATACCAAAATAATTAAACTATTTTATTTTAAAATCGTACCTTTTTCAAATTAAGATTTTATGTCTTACATGTCACCTTTATCAATATTTCTGCAAGGAAAGGGACATTTTAAATTTTTCAAACAATATTGTTTTGACACTTTTTTTAAATGTACAATCTCTTATTTATCTGAGTTCAACCTGAGATCACAAGAGAGGAGAATCTCTTAAGTCAAACCACAGAATAACTTCATTAATGGTTACATCTACAAGGAGAGGGGAAGAAGAAATGGTTACATTGTGAAAAGTATTAATTTCATTTGACTTTGAGCTATTGGAAGTCCAGATTTTTTAATCTGAGTGCCCCATTTTAAAAAAAGAAATAAAACCTTGCAAAATACGCTAGAATACATCCAGTAAAGGAAAATCAAGGTAAAAGATCAGAGAGAAAAATCAGTGTCTATTCTGTGAATGGTTGAAAGTTATAGAAGGACAGATTTTCAGCTAGTTAAAGTCCAAACTTTCTAATAATTTGATGTAGCAGAGTAATGGGCTGCATTATTAGTGAGTTCCTTATGTGAGTGTCTGAGCATATGCTGGATGACTTATCTAGAATAATGTAGAAGAGAATTAAACATTGAAAGGGAGCTTAAATTAGTTAATTTCTGAGGTTCCCTTCCATTCTTAGAATTCTTTGATTTTTATATTGAATTGAGAGAACTGGTATAGTTGTTTTTATTTCAGCAGATTATAGCACCATTGTTCTCAAGGCATGGAAAATGTGTTTTTCATCTTTGAGATTCTAAACCCTTTTCACTCATGGCAATTTCTTTTAGCTAGCCTCTAAGCTTGGAAAGCAATGGACGCCATTAATAATCCTGGCCAACTCTCGTAGTGGAACTAATATGGGAGAAGGACTGTTGGGAGAATTTAGGATCTTGTTGAATCCAGTCCAGGTAACTAAAGAAAAAAACTTCCTTTCTTTATTAATGTTTTAATTTTCCCTAAAATGGAATGGTTATTATTGCTTTAAGTCACCAACCACCTGATCATAGAAAAGAATAATAATTATGAAAACATCAGCCATTTAAATATGTGGAGAAACAGGAACTCTTGTGGTGGGAATATAAAATGGTACAACCTCTTTAGAAGACATCTTGGCTGTTTCTTAAAAAGTTAAACATAAATTTATTATATCTTCTAGCAATTCCTCTACTAGGAATCTACCCAAGTTAAGTGAAAACATATTTCTCACAAAGATTTGCATGAAAATGTTCACAGCAGCATTATTCATGATAGCCAAAAACCATTAACAGCCCAGCTGTTCATGAGCTGATGAGCTGATAAACAAAATGTAGTGAGGCCATACAATGGAATACCATGAAATGACAAAAAGGAACAAACTACTGATACGTACATATTACAATAAATGAACCTCAAAAACATAGAGAAGGCAGATACAAGGGACCTTATATTGTATGACTCCATTTATCTGACTTGTCTAGAAAAGGCAAGTCTGTAGAGGTAGAGAATAGATTATTGGTTGCCTGAGGCTAGGGCTGGAAATGGAGAGTGACTGCGATTGGACATTGAGGGATCTTATTAAAGCAACAAAAATGTTCTAAACTGCATGATGGTGGTGGCTGTGCAATTCAGTGAACTTAGTAAAAATTATTGGCTTGTTCACTTCAAATGGGTGAATCTTATATGTAAATTATACCTCAGTTTTAAAAATAAAGGGATCATTAAAATTGAATGTACAACTAGCGACTTTTACTTTGAAAAATTAACCAAAAAACAAAAAAAATTTAAAAAAGGAAAATTAACCTATTGTGTAACAATTAGAAATGCAATGATTTTGTCCTTCCAATTTGTATTTTTTACACTTTCAATATTATACAGCTTAAGAAAATTTAAAAAAATACAGAGAAAATCATTTGCAATTTCTCCATACGAATACATCAGTTTTCTTTGTTCTTGTTTTTTCCATTAATTATCTATGCATTTACTTTACATGTTAACAGTACTGTAACAATAATCTAGATACAAATTTGCATTAAGAGTACTGTAACAATAGATACAAATTTGCATTCTGAATTTTTTAATTTTAATGGTATAAATATTTTTCCTTGTTTCAGCGTTGTCCTCATAATTACATATTTAATGACTAAAATAATTGAATGGAAATAGCATTATTTATCCACTCTCCTACTGTTGAAGGGTAACAGTGTCTCTATGATTGTGTTATAAATAATGCCACAGTGAATATTTTTATACATATTTTTAGGCATTTTTGTCTTTCGAAATATTTTTCTAGGGTCATTGACAGAGTTATGGATTATCAAAGTTACTTGCATTTTTATGTCATTTTCTATGTATAGCAAAATTGCTTTCTAGAAATTTGTACTAACTTGCACTGGTGATTTTTTTTTTAAGCCAGTATAAGATATGCAATACTAGTTAAAGGTGAACTTAGCACATTGTGGTTTATGTGAACAGGATGGAGGCAATGTGGTGTAATAGATAAACTATAACTTTGATTTTTTTTTTTTTTTTTTTTGAGACAGAGTCTTGCTCTGTCGCCCAAGCTGTAGTGCAGGGGCATGATCTTGGCTCACTACAACCTCTGCCTCCCAGGTTCAAGTGATTTTCCTACCTCAGCCTCCCAAGTAGCTAGGATCACAAGCACACAGCACCACACTGGCTAATTTTTGTATTTTAATAGAGACAGGATTTCGCCATGTTGGCCAGGCTGGTCTCGAACTCCTGACGTCAAGTGATCCAGCTGCCTTGCCCTTCCAAAGGGCTGGGATTATGGGCGTGAGTTACCACGCCTACCCTTGTATTTCAGCACTTAATTACCTGGAGAGTCACAGGCAAGGAATTTAACCTTCCTGCACCTCAGTTTGCAGCCCAATAGAATGAGGCTAACTCTTGCTTTGTAGAGTCAGTGTAGGGGTGAGCTACAATGAATATAAAGAGTCTGGCACAGTGTCTGACATATTGTTCAGTACATAGTAGCCAATAATGTTATTTAACTATATCTCTACTCATCTAGAGAGAAATCATCCTTACAGATGAAGGAAAATGTTGGATAAAAATAATTTTTCTTTTTCTTTTGTTTCTAGGTTTTTGATGTAACTAAAACTCCTCCTATCAAAGCCCTACAACTCTGTACTCTTCTTCCATATTATTCAGCTCGAGTACTTGTTTGTGGAGGGGATGGGACTGTAGGGTGGGTCCTGGATGCAGTTGATGACATGAAAATTAAGGTATTAGTCTTTAAGAACTACTACAGAAGGACTTCTAAGATAAATATACTATGCATATATATATATGGGTTTTTTGTTTGTTTGTTTGTTTTTTTGAGATACAGTCTCGCACTGTCACCCAGGCTGGAGTGCAGTGGCGCAAACACAGCTAACTGCAACCTCCGTCTCTCAGGTTCAAGCCATCCTCCCACCTCAGCCTACAAAGTTGCTGGGACTATAAGTGTGCGCTACCATGCCTGGCTACTTTTTGTGTTTTTTTGTAGAGACAGGGTTTCACCATGTTGCCTGGGCTGCTGTCAAACTCCTGGGCTCAAGCAATCCTCCCACCTTGGCCTCCCAAAGTGCTGAGATTACAGGGGTGAGCCACCATGCCCAACCTAATATGGAATATTTTTACTTTATATTTTTTATTATGCAGATAAATATTAGACATTGCCAGCTCCAAATAGTTAAAAATGAGATGTTTTGATTAAGCAATTAGCACAAGCTTTAGCAAAACAACATACAGTTGTTATATTTGTATTCTTACTGTTTTGGTCTTAATAAATTTTGTGAAGTATTATTACCCAGCAAATAGTCTGCAGAGAAGAATCTAAAACATATCTTCCATATTCTAGGGACAAGAAAAGTACATTCCACAAGTTGCAGTCTTGCCTCTGGGAACAGGCAACGATCTATCCAATACATTGGGTTGGGGTACAGGTTATGCTGGAGAAATTCCAGTTGCACAGGTTTTGCGAAATGTAATGGAAGCAGATGGAATTAAACTAGATCGGTAAGTTACATTTCCCCAAAAAGTAGATTTCTTGAGATTTAGCCAGCATTGTTTGGTTTACAAATGAAGACTTGTGTAGGTGAAATGTGCCATGTAATTTAAATGTGAAAGACAATACTCGTTGTACTTATACATAGATACTGGTGTTTTGGTTTATTATGTAAGAGCCAAAGTAATAAGTTACACTGAGTAGTTATCCCTAAATTTGCATGCTTATATACATGTGGTTACTTTTTTAGATGGTATTTTAATAGAAAACCTTCATTTATCCAAACATCCAGAGTACAGGGTTTATTGTAAAAAGTGTTTTTTTTAACTTCTGTTTTTTAGATGGAAAGTTCAAGTAACAAATAAAGGATACTACAACTTAAGAAAACCCAAGGTATGTTGTTAGTGCCTCAGTTGCAAGTAGTTTCAGCTTCATTGCACAAGATACGGCACTCTGTGGTGGGATACAGAGACCTGGTGCTTATCTCAAGGGAGCTGGCTATGGAGCAGAACAGAAACTTATATGCTTACCTCACAAGCTGGACTGTAAATGTGTTACGGGAGTGCACCTGTTCTGCCTAGCTGATGTGGCTGAGAAGATTCAGAGGAAGTGATACGGGAATTGGTCCTTAAAAAAGCGAAGGACTTTCCAGGCAGAGAGTGCAAAGCATGGTTAGCAAGTAGCAAATAATACAGAGAGAGCAGATCTGTATTTTTATTTATTTTTTATTTTTTTATTTTTTTTTATTTTTTTGAGACGGAGTCTCGCTCTGTCACCCAGGCTGGAGTGCAGTGGCCGGATCTCAGTCACTGCAAGCTCCGCCTCCCGGGTTCACGCCATTCTCCTGCCTCAGCCTCCGGAGTAGCTGGGACTACAGGCGCCTGCCACCTCGCCCAGCTAGTTGTTTTGTATTTTTTAGTAGAGACGGGGTTTCACCGGGTTAGCCAGGATGGTCTCGATCTCCTGACCTCGTGATCCGCCCGTCTCGGCCTCCCAAAGTGCTGGGATTACAGGCGTGAGCCACCGCGCCCGGCCGCAGATCTGTATTTTTAAAAGATACTTTGGAGATAATGTGAAAATAGCTTAGAAGCCTGTACTAGGCAGAATCAGGATGAGGACAATGCAAAGACATTTTAGAGGTAGAATTAATCAGTACTTAACAACTGATTAGTATAAAGGGAAGAGAGAAAATACATATTACTACTAGATTTCTAGTTTTTATAACTGGATATATGGAAATGACTATAAGAAAAATACCAAAAATACCAAGTTTCAGGTTTGGGTAGGAAGAAAATGAGATAGAATTGAGCATATCAATCTAAAAGTCTTTGAAGTGTTGAACAAGAAGTTGGAAGTTTAGGCTTATTGCTCAGGAATAAAGACAGAGCTAGAGATGCAGATTGAGGAATCTAGACTGAGTTAGAAAGTAAAATAAACTGGGGTGGGAGCGGGGGAGTAGCCCAAGTTGTGGGATTCATGCCCGTAGTTATCAGCCTTTGAACTGAAACTTTATTTCTGATAATTGTTTAAATGCTGAGAATATGGGGAGTGAGAAGGGAAAAGAGGGTCAAGAACTACATCTTTTTTTTTTCTTTCTTTTATTTTGGAGACAAGGTCTCGGTCTGTCACTCAAGCTGGAGTGTGGTATTGTGATGACAGCTCACTGCAGCCTCGACCTCTGGGACCAAGCGATCCTCCCACCTCAGCCTCCCAAGTAGCTGGGACCACCAGCATGTGCCACCATGCCCAGATAGTTTTTATTTTTGTTTCTGTTTTGTAGAGAGAGGGTCTCCCTATATTGTCCAGGCTGATCTCGAACTCCTAGGCTCAAGCAGTCCTCCCTCCTCAGCCTTCTGAAGTATTGGGATCAGACATGAGCCACTGTGTCCAGCCACAAACTACATCTTGAAAATAGGTACATTTAGGTGACACCGATTAAGAGAGGCCACTAAGGGAAACTAAAGAGTGTAGTAGGTAAATAAGGAGAAAACAGAGAAAGAGGATCACAGTAGGTGGGTGATAAACAGCCAAATTAAAGCAGACTTTAAAGAAGAGCATTTGGGGAACTCATGCATGTTTCTTTGCTTCTCTCTCTCCTTGCCACTAAAATCCCTCTAAAATGGGGATACAGATCTTGTATAGATCTTTGAGAAGGCACAAAACCTTAAGGAGAAAGAGATCACAGCAGTCTTCAGAAGCCAAAACTAGGAAGGTTCACGTAATTGAAAAAAGCTCAAAAGTGCCTACACTGCAGAAAACCAAGAAAGAAACCAGTTTATTGAGCAGAACCAAGCAAAGGCTTAGGAATTCAGGTCACTACATCACTCAGAGAGCAGTAGTATAGAGTGGGTCTGAAAATAGAAGGAGTGAGCCAAAGAAGCTGTTTGTCCCCTTTCCCCAGCTTCACATGGTCATTTACTACCCTCCTCAACTCAGGTAGTAGATTGGAGGTTTACTCTGGAAAGTTTAGAGAGTCTCTAGCCAGCTAATGCCATACTGAAAACAGATTTAGTGCAAAGTGAGATCACTGGCCCTTTTCATCCACTCAACTTCAAGAATAGTGGCAGAGAGTATTTCTCTCTGGGAAGCTAACTTGCCCAAGGAAAAAATTAACAGGTACCAATATTTGGGTGTCCCCTAGCAAAAGGACCAGATTTTTGCACTGTAGTCCTATAATGAAGCTTATACCGTAGCAAGACCTGCTTTTGGATGCAAAGTTCACAGTTTGCCTTTTTTGCCTTACTCTTAAAACATGAGCATATACAGCCAAGGATTGGAGGCACAAGCAGGCATTTAAGGAAAGCCTCTATCATGAGAGAGTCCCAAATAAGAAGAAAGAATTATAGGAAACACAGTCCAGGAAGCTGAAGGAAGTCAGGGAGTGGGACTAATGTTCTCAGAAAAAAATGAAAATATTTATAGAACAGGGTTCTATAAAAGGAACATTCAGAAACACACACCTCAAAAAAGGCTCTGACAAACTAAAATTCAGTATCAGACTGGAAAGTACAATTGAAGACACCACTCAGAAAATACAACAAAAAGCAAAGGAACTGGACATGGGGGCACACGCCTATAGTCCCAGCAACTCAGGAGGCTGAAGCCAGAAGATTGCTTGAGTCCAAGAGTTCAAGGCTGCAGTGAGCTATCATCACGCCACTGCACTCCAGCCTGGGTGACAGAGTGCAGATGAGACCCCCATCTCTAAAAAAAGAGAAAAAGAATAATATTTAAAATTTAAAAATCAGGTGCGGTGGCTCATACCTGTAATCCCAGCACTCTGGGAGACTGAGGTGGGCAGATCATGAGGTCAGGAGTTTGAGACCAGTCTGGCCAACATGGGGAAACCCCGTCTTTACTAAAAATACAAAAATTAGCCAGGTGTGGTCGTGGGTGCCTGTAATCCCAGCTACTTGGGAGGCTGAGGCAGGAGAATTGCTTGAACCCGGGAGGCAGAGGGTGCAGCGAGCCAAGATCGCGCCACTCTACTCCAGCCTGGGCAACAGAGCAAGACTCCATCTCAAAAAAAAAAAAAAATCAAGAAATAATCTGATTATGTTACTTAGAAATATAGAGATAAATACCAGAAGAAAAAACTATGGAAAGAGCTGTGGGAACAGGAATTACAAATGAGGAGTAGACAGAAAATTGCAGTGTTTCCTTTGAAGCCTTGTAGAACTATATAGCTTATTAAAGTGGATTGCTTTGATTTATTTAAAAAAAAATTAAACATAAAAAAAAGAGAAAGTATTGGAGATCCTTTAAAATGGTTCCTGTGCTCAGAAGTATTTGTCAGTTATCATAGTGCCTGAAATACCAACATTAGAGATGTGTTTCTCTTTTTGATAGAAACCAATCTAATAGGTATGAGGTGATAGCTTATTGTGGTTTCCATTTGCATTCTCTGATGATTAGAAATGTTCAGCATTTTTCCATATGCAGGTTGAATATCCCTTATCCAAAAAAAGGTTGTGACCAGAAGTATTTCAGATTTCTGATTTTTTTGGATTTTGGAATATGTGCAGAATATATACCCGTTGAGCATTTCTAATCTGAAAAGCTGAAATCCAAAATGCTCCCATGAGCATTTCCTCTGAGTGTCATGTCAGTGTTCAAAAAGTTTCAGATTTGGGGACATTTCAGATTTCAGATGTTCGTATTAGGGATGCTGAACCTGTATCTGTTGGCCATTTTTATGTCTTTTGAGAAATGTCTCTTCAAGTCCTTTTGCCCATTTTTTAATAAGATTATTGGTTGTTACTGAGTAGCTTGAGTTCCTTCTACATTTTGGAGATTAGTTCCTAATTGAGTGTATGATTTACAGATATTTTCTCCCAAGCTGTGGGTTGCCTCTTCACTCTTGTTTTCCTTTGCTGTAGAATCTTTTTAGTGTGATGCAATCCCTTTTGTCTATGTTTACTTTTATTGCCTGTGCTTTTGAGGTCATATCAAACCAAATAACTGCCCAGGCCAATGTCATGAAGCTTTTTTCTTACATTTTCTTTTAGTACTTTTATAGTTTCAGGTTGTACATTTAAGTCTTTAATCCATTTTGAGTTGATTCTTTATAATGGGTAAGATAAGGGTTGATTTTCATTGTTCTGCATGTGGATATCCAGCTTTCCCAGTACCATTTATTGATGAGACTCTCCTTTCCCTATTGTATGTTCTCGGCACCTTTGTCAGAAATCAATTGGCCATTGATATGTGTATTTATTTTGGGCTTTCCTATCCTATCTCATTGGTCAGTAATAACAAGTGTTGGCAAGGATGTGGAGAAGACAGAATCCTTATACACTGTTGGTATTGCAAATTAATACAACCATTTTGGGAAACAATATGGAGGTTTCTCAAAAAACTGAAACTAGAATTACCATTTGTTCCAGCAATTCCATTTATAGATACATACCCAAAGGAATTGAAATCAGTATATCAAACAGATGTCCATGCTGCCATGTTCATTGCAGCGTTATGTACAATAGCCAAGATGCAGAAATAACCTAAGTGCCCATCAGTGAATGAATGGTTTTTTTAAATATGCCATATATACACAATGGAAAACTATTCAGACTTTAAAAAAAAAGAAAAGGAAAATCTGTCATTCTCGGCAACATAGCTGAACCTAGGGGACATTATGTTAAATAAATAAACCAGGCCCAGAAAGACAAATATTGTATGATGTCACTTATATGTGGAATCTAAAAAATCAAAACGCAAAGTTGAGAGTAGAGTGATGGCTACCAGAGGCTGTAGAGGGTAGGAGAGTGATGGTTACCAGAGGCTGTAGAGGGTAGGAGAGTAGATGGAGATTGGTTAACAGGTAAAAAGTTTTAGTTAGATAAGAAGAATAAGTTCTGCTGTTGCACAGCTTGGTGACTATAGATAATGTATATTTTCAAATTGCTAAAAGAGAGGTTTTTTGTTTTTTGGGGGCTTTTTGAGACGGTCTCACTCCATTGACCAAGTTGGAGTGCAGTGGCGTGATCACAGCTCACTGCAGTCTAGACTTCTTGGGCTCAAGTGATCTTCCCATCTTAGCCTCATTAGTAACTGGGACTACAGGCACATGCCACCACATCCGGCCAATTTTATTTTTATTATTTTCAATAGAGACAAGATTTGTCTGTGTTGCCCAGACTGGTCTCAAACTCCTGAGCTCAAGCAGTCCACCCACCCCAGCCTCCCGAGTGCTGGGATTATAAGTGTGAGCCTAAAAGAGAGGATTTTAAATGTTCTCACCACAAATAAATGATAAATATTTGAGGTGATGGATATGCAAAAAAAAAAAAAAAGATGTATTTCTCATTCATACCAGGATGTATTACTATTCAGTAATAAAGTGGAGCTGAGTATTTAGAAATATTTATCAGAGATCATTCCTCCAAAGAAAGATGGACAAAGTTTTACACCAGTTAGATGATTCAAATAAAAAGACGTGTTCTTCAGCCATTTGCTGTCAAAAAAAAATACACTACAATCAAGTAGTGTCTGCTTACCTCTATAGAAGAACATCCAAGCAATCAAATACAAGAAGGAACTTCATTTATCTATACATTCAGGCAAGTATTTTGTGCCCGTCTGGTGCTAGGCACTGTCCTAGGTGCTGGAGTTTCAGTGATGAAGGCCTTGCCCTCATGAAGCTTATATTACCCCACTCTTAGTTTCTGAATAAAGGACGCCTAGAAAACTAGAAAAAAAAATTCAGTTAAAAAATAAGGCACATTAATGTACATTGACGTTTTTTATTTAAAATAAGATGTTTATGGGTTTTGTTTAAAAGAATAACTAGGATTGAAAATTATATTTTGGCAGTGAAGGGACAGACATTTAGTTCCATAAGAGATGAATGGGAAAAGGATAAAAAGAACAAATGACCAAATTTAGACTTAACCATCAAAAGGAGGAAGAGCATCTTTGATTTGGAGGAGAAAGGTATACTTGAGTAAAGTCAGAATGTTTAGATGGCAGAAAGAGAGCAGGAGAATTCATACCTTTCATACCTGAGGATCTCATTTTTTTCAGTGAGGCAAGAATCAAGATCATCTGAACATAACAAAGGCAAGGGAGCAAGTTACCAGGGACTTGAAGAGAGTTGTAAATTTTGAAATAAACCACTAGGGAATACAAGAAAGGGGTCATCGAAAGGGTTACTGTGTCCTATTAGCGATTGTGTCCAGCCATCCTTAGAAATAACTTTGTAACAGGATCATAATTATGAGATTCTTACCAGCAATGTCCAGCAACCTGGAAATAGAGCAGAGAAAACAGTTTGATTTAGAGAAGATTAACAAGTAAGGCTGGCCAGGCGCGGTGGCGCACGCCTGTAATCCCAGCACTATGGGAGGCTGAGGTGGGCGAATCATGAGGTCAGGAGCTCGAGACCAGCCTGGCCAACATGGTGAAACCCCATCTCTACTAAAAATACAAAAAAAGTAGCCAGGCATGGTGGCGGGCACCTGTAATTCCAGCTACTCGGGAGGCTGAGGCAGGAGAATCGCTTGAACCCGGAAGGCAGAGGTTGCAGAGAGCTGAGGTCGCGCCACTGCATTCCAGCCCGGCGACAGTCTGAGACTCTGTCTCAAAAAAAAACAAAGCTAAATTGAGAAGAGGTCAAGAGAGTGTTGGATCGAAGGATGGTGTTGAGTACAGTCGTTGAAATGGTTGACCTTGGAATCCAGGCCGCATTGGGAAGTAAGATAAATTAAGGTGAGACCAGTAGCCTGGGTTGGGACTAATAGAAGCTGAGAGCTTGGAGGCTGTGATAAATGTAAAGAGCAAATGTAATGGAAACACAGGCATGAAAAGCCTGGAAGCATCAAGTAGAGCCATTCTAGATGGTAAGATCTGAGGTGTAGCATATAAAACAGAAATGGAAGATGAGATTCACAGCTGTAGTTATCAGCCTTAAATGGAAGCTTTATTTCTGGTAACGTCACCGGACAGTATAAAATGGCCATGTGAAAAGTAAATGCAGAAAGCATCTCCCTTTACAAAAGAACACAAAGACTAAGATTGACATTTAATTATGACTCAGGCTTAGGTGGAATCATAGTCTGTTGCTTATTCTTACCCTTTCTCACAGGAATTCACAATGAACAACTATTTTTCTGTTGGACCTGATGCTCTCATGGCTCTCAATTTTCATGCTCATCGTGAGAAGGCACCATCTCTGTTTTCTAGCAGAATTCTTAATAAGGTGTGTTGGATAAAATAACATTTCCTGCTTATCACCGAAGGTACAGTAAAAATCAATAGTTCAATTATATTTAGCACTTTTAGATTCAGATTTAATTAACTTTTTACCTGCTCTGTTTTGTGTAGGATCGTCAAATTAGATCTTTTTTTTAAATTAGATCTTTAAATGTACTTTAGCAGGCCGGGCACAGTGGCTCATGCCTGTAATCTTAGCACTTTGGGAGGTGGAGGCAGGTGGATCACTTGAGGTCAGGAGTTCAAGACCTGCCTGGCCAACGTGGTGAAACCCTGTCTCTACTAAAAATACAAATTTAGCCGGGCGTGGTGGCAGGTGTCTGTAATCCCAGCCACTCGGGAGGCTGAGGTAGGAGAATCTCTTGAAACCAGGAGGCAAAGGTTGCAGTGAACTTAGATCATACCACTGCACTCCAGCCTGGGCAACAGAATGAAGCTCCATCTCAAAGAACAAAACAAAACAACTTTATCAAAGTATAACATAATTCTAACAATTTTTTTAAATTCAAATTTGGGGTGTTTTATAGCATATTTTGCTTAGATGGCAACTGAATGGAATATATGATAGTTTATCTTAAACGGCAGCTAAAATTGGAAGGAAATTTTAGGCAGACTAAATTTTTGGTGAGGTCACTAATGGAACAGTAGATTTCATTGGTTTGAAAAACCTCCAGAAGGCAGATGAGATAAAGAAAAGAGAAGCTTGTTTGCCACAGGTTTGAACTAAGGTCATATTGGGTTTCTAGTACAGTTGATTCCTTTGATGTAGTTTTGCTTAGGAATTTTTTAAATAACGTTTGGTGATTGACCAACAGGATATCAAAAATAAATGCAAAGCAATTGTATTCCTGGTTCTGTTTTACAAATATTTCAAGTTTTGAAATAGTTCCCTTTTATTAATGTAGTTACTAAGGTAATATGTATTACTATTTATACAATTGATAATTAACTCATCTCAGTCCTTACATCAATCTTTCTGTATTCGAAAGTGATTAGAAAATGTTTGTTAGATTAATATGCATTACTCTTCTTAAGTAATCTGAGGTACTAGGAAAAAGTGGAATTTTCTAACTTGAATATTTTTCTTTATAAAATACAACTTTTTTGATAAATTGGGAGAAAACACCATTTAGAAACAAATCACTTGTAGGTTGGGTGTGGTGGCTCATGCCTGTAATCCCAGCACTTTGAGAGGCCAAGGTGGGCAGATCACGAGGTCAGGAGATCAAGACCATCCTGGCCAACATGGTGAAACCCCGTCTCTACTAAAAATACAAAAATTAGCCAGATGTGGTGGCGCACGCCTGTAGTCCCAGCTCCTTGGGAGACTGAGGCAGGAGAATCGCTTGAACTCGGGAGGCAGAGGTTGCAGTGGACCGAGATCGCACAACTGCACTCCAGCCTGGTGACAGAGCAAGACTCCATCTCAAAAAAAAAGAAAAAACCACTTCTGTTGCACATTTCCCCTGAGAAAGAGGCTAATTACACTTAAATGAAATGGCCTGTATTGTCATCTTCCATAAAAGAAGGATGAGTAACCACAGTTCACCTAGAACTTTTAAACTATTAATAGCTTAAGAGAATAAAATGTGAAATAACAAATGATGCCAAAAGTATCTGTGATATATTAAAGGCATTTTTACATTGTGTTTTAATTATAGATTTCCATTGCTGCTCCTAGTGGATTCCAATTTTACCCTTTGAAATTACTAGAATGGAGGTGTTGGATAGGGCCAGAGGGTGCACATCAAAAGTATCTCTTTTGGTTGCCCTTCTTTTCATCAGCATCTAGTCTACCGTAAGGAAAATGCGCTTCAACATTCTTGAAGGGAGCTTTGATACAGTGTATTTTTTCTTAATGTTTACAGGGTTAGACTGTTTTAATATTATGTTTTCTGTCCATTTTTCATAGGCGGTTTACTTATTTTATGGAACCAAAGATTGTTTAGTGCAAGAATGTAAAGATTTGAATAAAAAAGTTGAGGTAAGCTATTAACTCTTTTTATTTTTTAAAGTTTTAGGTGGTCTCTGGATTATGAAAACGTCTCTGGACGTTTTAAAAAGAAATGCTAAACTAACTTTCTGTTAATATATTTTGCCAGCATACATAGAGTATTTATTTGTGTGCCAGGCACTTTGCTACATGCTTTATACACATTGTCCCTCTAAATTCTCTCCACAATTCTATAAGGCATGTATTATATATTTACATTATACAGAAAACTATTTTGAATGAAGTAATTTGCCCAAATTCTCTCATTTAATGCCTAAATACACGTGTAATCAAGATGTGAACCCAGATTTATGTAAATCCAGAATCTGTTTATTAGGATGAATGGCCTCCATTCATACATGATAAATAATTTGCAGTTATCTAATACAGTGCCTGACTCAACATAAAGACACAGAGGAAGTTTAAATGGAAAGTTTAATTCAGATTACTTTTGTGGGGTATCTCTCTTACATACCAAAATAAAAATGTGTAAATAGTAAAAATAGAATATTAATGATTGCTTATTGTGAGAGCATCTCTGACGTTATGATATGGCAGTCTTATATATATTCCTTGCTTGATTCCAAAAAGAATCTGTAATGGTTAATAGCAACAAAGACGTTAATTCAGAGCAACCTAGAACTGATAAAATAAAGAGATCATAAACAGCTTGGGAAAGGAGACAATGAGCAGGGAGTAAGGAGGCTGATTATACATTAGTCAAGGAAACATGTTGCCGTTAGGCATAATGTTTAGCTCAGAGTCTCTAGGCAGCCATGGCGTAGAAGCAAGAACAACATTTTCTGTTAAAAAGAGTGTTACGGCCTGGCGCGGTGGCTCGCACGTGTAATCCCAGCACTTTGGGAGGCCGAGGCAGGCGGATCACAAGGTCAGGAGATTGAGACTGTCTTGGCTAACATGGTGAAACCCCGTCTCTACTAAAAATACAAAAAAAAAAATTAGCGGGGCGTGGTGGTGGGCACCTGTAGTCCCAGCTACTCTGGAGGCTGAGGCAGGAGAATGGTGTGAACCCGGGAGGCGGAGCTTGCAGTGAGCAGAGATCGCGCCACTGCACTCCAGCCTGGGTGACAGAGCGAGACTCCATCTCAAAAAAAAAAAAAAAGAGTGTTATGTTACTTTATCATATTTTATTTTTCTTGGCTTTGATAGTATTGGTAGAGTAAAGCATGCAAGCACATAAAATAAAGACCTTTATTTTATTGTCTGACATTTTATTTATATAAAAATACAAATACTTTTAATTATACAGAAATAAAATAAACTGTATTTACATACCTACAAAATAGTCATTGTCCTCGATACTGGAGGTACAGTGATAAATCCCTTGCTCTACATTTACAGTCTAGGGTGAAGAAAGGTATTTAAACCAGTCTGGGCACAGTGGCTCATGCCTGTAATCCCAGCACTTTGAGAGGCCAAGGTGGGAGGATTGCTTGAGGCAAGGAGACTAGCCTGGGCAACATATTGATACTCCACTTTTACAAAAAATAAAAATAGCTGAGCATAGTGGCATGTACCTGTGGTCCTAGCTGATCAGGAGGCTGAGGCAGAAGGATCACTTGAACCCAGCAGGCAGAGGCTACAGTAAGCCGTGATTGTACCGCTGCCCTCCAGCCTGGGTGACAGATTGAGACCCTGTCTCCAAGAAAAAACCAAAAAGATATTTCACACATTGCAATGCAGTATGAGAAGTTATGTAAGAAAAGCATGTGGTCTTACAGGAATAAATAACTGCAATACGTAACCTAGGAGCTACAGAGACTAGGGAAAGTGGCAGTCTTTCTGGAAGAAGTGACAAGATGGAATCTGAAAATAAGTAAGAGTTAGCTAAGAGGAGGAGGAGGGTAAGATTGCTGTAGGCTAAAAACAGCATGTGCAAAAGACCCAGAGGCGCACATGGCATGTTTGAGTGAGTTCAGGCTGGAGCATAGCTTTCAGGAAGGAAAGTGACAAGAGCTGAGGCTAGAGAGATGGACAGAAGTCAAATTACAGAGTGTCATATTTGCCTGGTATTAGAGCTTGGATTTCATCATGGGCATTGCAGGGTTGAAGTGAAGCCATTGAAGGGCTGTAATTAGAGGATGACATATTTGCATTTTTTAAATGTCGATCCAATTGCTCTGTGAGGGATGCATAAGAAAGTAATGCTAGAGGCAGATAGGCCAGATAGGAACTTTTAGGGAAGAAATGGTGGAGAGAGAGAAAGACATAGAAATAGCATCAACTGTTTTTAGTGATTAAGGGGATGTGGAGGGTAAAAAGTCAAAGAAATCAAAGATAACTGGCAGGTTTCTGGCTTAAACAGCTGGGTTGGGGGTGAGTTAACCTACTTACTAGGAAAGAGTAAGTAAGAGTTAGCTAAGAGAAGGAGGAGGGGAAGATTGTTACTCTTTCCTGGTAAGTACATTGGGGAACAGGGAACAGATTGCAGAAAAGTTGCTTGTTCAATTTTTTACACAGGAGTTTTTGGTGCCAGTTCATGGACATGTTTTGGAGGCAGTGGATAGATAGATCTGGCCCAGTTTACTTTCCTGAAAAGGAACATCCAGGGAAGTAGAGTCTGTGGTTCCCAGGAAGCAAAGGGAAAGAAGATTTTAGGAAAAGAGGAAGGGGGTCAGCAAGTGTCACGTACTACTGAAACAGCAATTTAGATAAGGCCTGAAAAAATCGCAGGGGTCAACAAAAAGGACATTATTGATGATGTTGCAAGCAGTTCCACTGAAGAGATAGAAAAGGCCAGATGAGAGGCCCTGAGTGAGAGGTAGGGAGCATCTTCTACATGTGCGTCTCTCACATATAAGCACATTTATGAAAATAGATGTGAATTCTAAATGGATGTGTATGGAAATCATGTACCCTGTAGTCACTATCTGTTTGTATTTCTTTAAAGCTAGAACTGGATGGTGAGCGAGTAGCACTGCCCAGCTTGGAAGGTATTATAGTTCTGAACATTGGTTACTGGGGCGGTGGCTGCAGACTATGGGAAGGGATGGGAGACGAGACTTACCCTCTAGCCAGGTATGTACATTTGTGGTCTGTTTTTTTATGTCACTATTTTATTTAAAGCAATCTCTTGTTTATAGACTTTAACATTTTTCTTTAAATTTTCTTTTTTGTATATCTCATTAGTTATAGTATTTTTAAAGTTGATGGTCCAACTGTGTTAAAAAGTAATTGCTCTAGCATAACTGATTTTGTTTTATTGCATCATATAATCCGTATTTTCTTTTTCCAATTTTAGGCATGACGATGGTCTACTGGAAGTCGTTGGAGTATATGGGTCTTTCCACTGTGCTCAGATTCAAGTAAAACTGGCGAATCCTTTTCGAATAGGACAGGCACATACAGTGAGGGTAGGTGAAATATGGCTGTAACAGGCTAATTTGTCACAATCCATTTCTAAGCTGTTGATACGTAAAGTATACATGCTATACCTTTCTTTAAACAGTGGTTTATGGCTCATGCAGCTGGTCACTGTACACCAGGGGCTAGAGTGGGATGAGGAAGAAACAGAAACATGGCTCAAGCTCCATGAGATAAAACATTCACTTGAAAAAAGAATTCCTTAATCAATGAATAAAAACATATTCAGATTAATATTTTCTAAAAATGAAATGCATAAGGGTTAAGGGATTGTGGATGGTGTTATTAAGGAAGACCTTTCTAAATTTTGGGGGACTGACTTTTAAACGTTATTTGTTCCCTAATATCAGCTGATTTTGAAGTGCTCCATGATGCCAATGCAGGTGGATGGGGAGCCTTGGGCCCAAGGGCCCTGCACTGTCACCATAACTCACAAGACACATGCAATGATGTTATATTTCTCTGGAGAACAAACAGATGATGACATCTCTAGTACTTCGGATCAAGAAGATATAAAGGAGACTGAATAGATGGATGAGGGAGTGAAAACTTTGCATAGAATCCTCACGCAAGTAGATGTATGTTCATCCAAAAGTATTAATAGAAATTCTCTGTCAGCTATTCAGTCTTAATTTCACTAGTAGTATTATGGGTATACATTTTTGTAAATAGCATCCCCAAACCAGCCAGCCTTCAGTTATTTACAAACATTTGTTCTTTTTTCAGCAAAATACTTCAAATGAGTAGTATTAACTTACGAAAAGTCAAAAAAACTTACATGAGAGTGAAAATTTGTTATGACTGTTTTGAGAGTGGGACTCGCTCTGAAGTATGTGCTGTCTCATTTCTTATTTTTGAACCATGCATATGATGGACGCACAATGGATGGACACATTATATCTACAACAAGGTGTGGGTGGAAAGATCATTTCCATCTTCATTTTTAATATGGTGACACCATAGCATTTTAAAAATTAACCTGCTTTTTTGAAAGGAAATGATTACTGTCAAACCACCATGGTTAATCGTGGGCATCCTCCTGCAGCATGCCTCTTAAAATTTTCTGCAACCCAAACCAAGTATATGTATTGATTTCTAGGAACCCCCAAAAAGAGAATAGTAAAAAAAGATCATACTTAAAATTTGTATTATAATTTTTATTTTAGGAACTTATTCAGACACGTAAATGTTGTTTAATTCTGTAGGTAACCATTTGAGCTGAAATTCAGGATCTTTTTTATGACACCAGTGTAGCCAAAAGAGAAGCAGATAAGTGAATTGGTAAGAAATAAGATTCAGAGCACTTTGGATTGTATAAGTTATAGGTTCTGAGCTGAACAGTTTATCACCCTCTCTTTTTATTAAAAGACAGTGTCAACACTTCAAAAATTGTGCTTAAAGGAAACTTAATGGTGAGATTAATTGCTTAGGAAAAGCTCAAGGCTGACTGATAAGTTTTAAAACTTTAGTGGTCTAGTAGCATTTTGAAATACAGTAGTCTTTTAACAGAATTTCCCCTTAGGGAGGTAAGTGGACAAAAATCTTTGCTAAAATGTTTATATCATATTTATTTTAAAATGAGAGATATATATTTTTAAATTATTTATTATTTACCTTGTGGTATGATACCTGTGTTTAGTGTTTACGTTCTGTAGCTTTATTTAATAAGTTAAATTGATCACATAAATTCTGCTAGTCACAATCAGATAGAAATTTAGTCTATTAAGTAATTAAAATTCTAATTTAATTCTCCTAACAGATATCTAGACATTCTTATTCTTCACAAATATTCCTCATTGTATTGAAAAAAGAAGGAGGGCATGAAAAGCACTAGGGAACTACTTTTGGATAACTGAAAGCTTTGTTTCATTGTTTTATTTGCGCCTCAATTGCCACAAACTTACTGAAGGGCCAGTTTCATGGTTCCCATTAGAGGGTGCTTGTTCTCTGCTGTTGACCAGCCCATCCCTTCATTACCCACAGGTAGGCTGACCCAGTGGGCATCTAGCCTGGTGTTTTTCTGACAAATGGCCCGTTTGTAGTTATTGTGCTCTTTCATGACATTAATCTCTGAAAGATGAGAATGTTTCCCCCAAAATACCATTAGCAGTCTTTGAGGGTCTATTATGAATCTGTCATCGGTGAATTGCCATAAATCTAAGTTTGCCTCACCTCAGGCCCAGACCATGTTTTCGAAGAGCAACTTAGTAATGTATATAGTAGTCAGTACATTTTATGAAATATTTTATTTTGCTAAATTAAACTCTTCCAGATCTCCTCGGGTGATCTTAAATTCTAGTCTTGAGAAACTTTATGAGCAGATCTGTTTTCAGTTTATTTATACACCTTTCATGGTAGGTAACCATGGCAGTGAGGATGGCAGAGTTTTGTTTTTTTAATGGGCCAATCATGTTCTGAGTATTATGAGGTTTATATCCTTTCATTCATGATCAAAATTGTTAAAGATATCACATTTTAAAAATACACTGTTAAATTCACTTTGCTGTAGGTTATAGTTTACCTGTTATAAAATTCATAGTGCTAATTATAGTAGAAGCAAAGTACGTCAATTTAGGATGTCGGAATTAAAATAATCACAATAACTAATATAGTTTTTTAATTGTGAAAACTACAATTAAAAATTGGAATTTTAATACCAATCATAATATTACATTATATTTAGAACAGCTTATGTAAAATGCCCTCATTTATCTAAACAAGTTGATTTTTTTGGTTATTATAATCTAGTAAGGTTTTTGCGTCACAACTGATCTGTCATGAAGTTTTTTGGCTGGCTTATTCACTCATTTAGACTTCATTTAGGGAAGCTATTTCAGAATACCATATCAAAACGTATCTTGTTTTTGCAAAATTCACTTACTTTTTTGGGCACATTTACCCAGCATTTCAAATAAATGTATAGGCATGTGTCTTGTTTAAATAAGTACAATTTATAAGACTTCATGTTTGCAAGTTACATATTAGGGTAGTGATTGTTTATATTACCAGGGATTCTACACTTTACCAAAAAAATTGCCATAAGATTTTCCTGTTCCATTTTAAATTGTCTTGATATTTAAAAAAATAACTTCAACATTCTCAGGAAGAAATACATGAAGTAAATCATATCTCCATGTCTGTTTCCAGATTTCTCTCATCTTTTTACTATCCCAATACATTCCTTACTCCTATAAATGTAGTGGCTTAAATACTGAATACCTGGCAGCTCTTATAGATCCCGTAGGCAGATGATGATAATTTTCAGTGTTTTGTCATGTTTAATAGAGATCAAACTGACTTGTGTTTTAAAATACAAGTTTTCTACTAGTAAGGTTACATGATTTAAGTGTGTTTTAGGTTTTCTGCAACAATTAGCTGTGAACCCCTAATGTAGCTAATGTTTATACAAATTTTATAGTCAAAATTATTTATTTTTATTTTTTTAGAGTGTTTCAAAAACATAGTGTTTGCTTTGTGAAATACATTTGCTTAGAGTTATAGTCTACTGTGACTCAGAAATTGTAAAGTCAATTTGCATTGTAAAAATGAATACTACCAGCATGTCAAAAGAAAAATAATTTGCATTTGTAATATAAAGTAAAATTGTATTTAATATATTTATTGAATTTTAAATTTGCACTAACTTGAAAACTTTAAAGGTTATACTAACTTAAAGATTAATGTGGACCCAAATACGTAATTTGTTTGGCCAAAAAGGTCATTAGAATGGGTAATGGTTTTGTGTGGTTTTCCTTCAAAATGATAATATTGAAGCAAGAACCAATGTTTTATATTGATAATTTTTTAAATATTTCCACCCAGTTGAGGACAGTGGAATATAAGTAGATTTATTTAAAATATCTAGATATTTGAAAAAGAAAGAAAAGGTTGTTTATCCCAATCTGAATTCATTCTCAGCAACAAGACAGAAAAGGTGGGGTTTGGGTTTTGCTTTTAAACAGTGTCCCCCTGTCTTTTTTAATTTTTCCCTTGAAGCCTTTCTCCTGCTCCTCAGAGTATGCTCTGCAGGCTATCTGCAGCATCAGAATGCCTGGGCAGGCTGTTGAAAATATGGATTCCTGAGCCCAACCCTTAACTTAATGATTCCATGTCTCTGGAGACGCAACATAGAAATCTGTTTTTATTACCAAGCACCTCAGGCGATTCTTAAGCATACTGAAATTTGAAAGCTTCTGGTCTGAACCTCTTGTATTCACCTAGGGCTTTTGCTAGGTGGGATACCATGCCGAAAAATTGAATTAATTGTATGTTCTTAAAATTGTTTTTCTTCTACTTCACTATCCTCTTCCCTCAAAGTCACTTTTCTAAAAGAACTCTATGAAAAACTTGTTTGTATCGTACCCAGATTGATATATTTGTCTGAACTCTGTTACATAAAAATTGGTATGATTCATATGTGGAGTCAGTTTTTGGACTGTGACCCATGCAGTGTCGGGGGACAAGGAGTTGCTTCAGGAGTTAGTTATAGTGCGCCTCCAAGGGACAGCAAGCCATGGAGGCTCCTGCCTTCTCACTTCAATGCAGCCACACTTGTGTATACTGAGTGCTGCTTCAGATCTCAATAGATAAAATACTTCCACATTTAAAATGATTCTACTATTTTTTATAAAGGGTTTGAAAGCCACTACTATAATGACTTTGTCACCTAATTGATTTTCTACTAATTTTTACATATTCAGAAACTTCATGTGTTTTTGGTGGACAGAATATTTTGGAGGTCTCTGTTGCTGCTTAGAATGTGGCCACTTGGCTATTTTACAGTTTTTAAAGCTATTTTATTGAATAGTAAAGCAGTGAACTTAGCCTTCATTCCTCGTGTTTCTAATTTAAATATGTAGTCTGTATTTAATTTTAGATATGTAAATACACATCAATACATATATATTTACCCATATGGCCCTGTGTAACCAGTGCATGAGGCTTGCATAGCCTAGCCCAAAAAGGTATATTCCAGCGTTCTGGGGAAAGAATTTTAAAATGCCATCCTCTAATACAGACATTTATAAAACTTAAATGATTGAGCTTAGCCATCTGCAAGAATGTCTGCAGAAAATAAATCACCTAGAAACTATAAATAGAAATGTGTTGCTGAGGCTGGGCGCAGTGGCTTACCCCTATAATCCCAGCACTTGGGGAGGCCAAGGCAGGTGTATCACCTGAGGTCAGGAGTTCGAGACCAGCCTGGCCAATATGGTGAAACCCCATCTGTACTAAAAACACACAAAAAAAATTAGCCAGGCACAGTGGCACATGCCTTTAGTCCCAGCTAAACAGGAGGCTGAGGCACGAGAATCGCTGGAACCCAGGCGGCGGAGCTTGCAGTGAACCGAGATCATGCCACTGCACTCCAGCCTGGGCAACAGAGCAAGACGCCGTCTCAATAAAAAAAAAAAAAAATTGTGTTACTGGTATCAGATGTCAGACCAAGAACACTTCAGTCTCTCTAAGGATGCCCTCAGCTACCTCACTATTAAAGGACGACATCAACACAGAATGCACTAAACAGGAAATAAGCTGTAATCGAGGGAATTTCCATTATGTGTTACTTTTTGGTGACTAACATGGAATGTTGAAAAAGAAGAGCCGGAAAGCTCAGTTGTTTTCTTTATTCCTCTGACATTGTCCAGGCAAGGGGGCATCCTGATCAGATGAGTAGATTTGGCTGAGAAAAACCCTAGAGTAAGGCAGGCACGTTGTGGAGTTGGATGATCCAAGATGGCTTGTAAAAACGTTTGTTCTCAATCCGGTTCAGGGCTCTGTCAGCAGTTCAGATTTGAACTGCTTAAATGAACCCTACAGATAAATTGGCACTCTCATTTGTAATCCTGTTTGTACAAGTTTAGAGCAGCCTAGCTCGAGTTCTCAACCCGTCCTCTTAGAA